AAGAGAAGTTTGGTATAGCCAGTGACTTCTTATGAGGATTGTGACCCTGGAGAAGGAGGCTAACCACATGTTTTTTTTGAAGCTTGCCAGGTGACAAGAGACAGTAACTTGTGTTTTTCCCCACCTCATCCCCCCAGGGACTCCTCAGTACAAGTGCTCATTCACAAGTCTTATTTTGAGCTGACTCTTTGGGTCCCCCAGTGTCTCATTTGAGAAATGTGGTTTTGAAGCAAGGCATAGATCTTCTGTCTCAGTGGATGGGGGAAGGAGGAGTTGGGAGTTTTGTTTTATTATGCCATTACAGTTGGCTGAAAAAAAGTGGGTGCTTACAGAAACTGCTGCTTGTCTGTAGCCAATAATTAACAGGATCTGTTGATACAAAAGTTACTATTCTATAGACAAACCTGGTATTTTGCAACTACAGAGAGGATTACTGAAAAACTGGCATCCCCGGAGATGGGAATTTTGAATCTATTTCAGTTATGAATAATGGCAAGAYTTTTTTTCCAAGATTTTTAGAAAAGTTTTTGTACAACTTAGAAATGGTTTGAATTTTCCAGTTAAAGACTTGTGTGAAGAAATTTTGTAACAAAATGGTTACAGCTTGTTCCTTCTATCATAATATTTTAAGGTAAAGTGCTAATGTTGGGGAGTTGGCTTTTGAGAGGGAAGGCTGGTAAGCAGAAGAGACTTTATTGCAGTTGTGCAAACATCTACAAGCTGTATTTGAAAGAAAAGTCTAAGCCAAATAATTTTTTTACAAGTGACTATTTAAAATCTCTTCTTTCTGTTCCTGTTTACCTCTTAAGGCCTCATTATGTGAAGAAAATCTTTTATACACTACCCTTTATTGTTTTATAGATGGGTATTGTTGAACAATATATGTTTTGGAGAGCCTGAAATCTTATGCAAATAAAGATTGCATAGCATAAAGATCAAAGATGGCCTCGAATACGGCAGCAAAAATCACTGAAGCAAACTCTTACACCTTAGAAACAGTCTAACAGTTCTTTCTAATTGTGCTCCCCAATGCTTGCATTTCAGTTACTGATTTAAATACATCTTCCCACACCTGTCCTTCCATTGTATTTCTGCTGTCATATGTTCTGTTCTTCCAGCTGATTGTTTACCTGTTTTTTTCAATAGTAAATGGGAGAGATTGTGTCTTACCACAACACCCCCTCCTCCTTTTTTTTTTTTTTTAAACCTTCTTAACACACAAAAAAAACTGTTCTGTAATCTAGCTCTGTCTAATGGAYTGTAAGGTTTCTGTCAAGTTTAATGTAAGGATTTAAATTTAAGATGATGATAATCCAGAATTTCTGCAAGCTTCTATCACCATCCYATGGTAGACCCAATTTAATTCTCCTGTCACCAAATTGGCAAACCTGTTGGCAAGGTGGTTCATACCCTGTTTTCTTAAGTGAATCCCGTATCTCACTTACCAGTCCTCACCATGAAGAGAGGCTTAGCCCTTGGCAGCACCAATCCCGTCACCAGGTTGAGTTACAAGATGTCCCTACTGAAGCCTTTCACATGTAAGGCATGGGGTTCCACATCTTTTCCCTTTGTCTCTGGAGTTTTATAGCTGCTTTTAATTTGCTCCGGGTCTCTCCTGGCAATAGTATTGTTGTGTGTATGAGCAAGCAACAACAGGGAATAGTCCAAGGCTAGAGGAGCTTGGCAGCCTCTCCTGCATGTCACGTGTGGCCCGATCTCCTTTGGCAGCAGCCCAAGTCCCTGCACACAGCAAGAGGGCATCTCCAACCACTGTTACCTGCCCTTCCTCCTGCTGCTCATGCTTGGCTCAGGCTCAGTCACCTCTGACAACCTCCCTTAGCCTAGGTGCTCACCATGTCTGCCTGTTATTCAAATAGTATTTTTTTGAACGTTGACAGTGGGGCTTACCTTCTGCTTTTGTGATGGTGTTTGTTTTGTGGAGGGAAAGAAACAGGGTGGAAAGTGGCTCCTTATTCATATGTTCGTGTAGGAAAGAAAGTGAAATGCCGATATAATAAGAAGCAGCTATTGGGAAGCATGCAGGAAGGAGAGGCTAGAGACTTAAGAAAAATCTGAGCTGGAAAGCTCGGGACAGCCTTTGTTTACCTTTCTCAGCAGGTAATGTGCTGTTAGCTTGGCGTATGGAAATGATAGGTGAAGTATASAAAGCTCAGGACAATTCTCACTTTGCACGGATGTTTTATATGCAGTTAGGTGTGCTACTCATGTTTCAAGAGTTTCAAGTTTTGTAACTGAATCTTCTGCGTAGAATAAACTTGTGGCCAGTCATTTAAGGTCGTGCTGACTGGTACCTGGATTCTGCGACTCTGCTTTTCTATATGTAGTTGTTGGTTGCTGTGTTTCTCCATACTGAGGAATATGAAACAGTGAGCCCTGTAAACTCCAATTTGAGTTGCTTCTTATGTGACTTTTAAATCCCTGCAAGCAGACGAGCCTGTGATTGATGGAATTGTAGCAGCCTGTTTTCCTAGGTCTGCATCTCCAAAATGCTTGCTTTCTTACTGTTCTGCCATGTGTATTTGAAAACAGTGCGTGTAAAGTCTGCTCCGAAATCACACTTAATTGCCAGGCAACTTGATCAATTTAAGAGGCAAGAGAARTCACGGAATCTTAATACTTTTCAGCTTTGACAGAACAAACAAACAACTGTCCAAATCCTTGTTTCTCTGTTATATTTTTGGTTGAAATTGTTGCTTTGGGGTATGTGCGTATTCTGTAGTCATCTGTTCTAGAACATTAAAAGCCAAAGTAACTGTTATTAGATGCTGTTACAGAGCAGAAATACGGATTCAGTCACTGCAGTGCTTGACTGTTAGTTCAGAGCTAAATGTTTTGATTTTCCAGGCTACAGACCTAAAGCTTACACGAAAGCAACACTTTAGCTTACTTCATCATCAATCTGTGAGCTGCATTTGACACTTCATTTTCTTGATCTGGGAAAATCAAAATACAATTTAATGATGAACTTGAACCTTGTGTTACTGCCCTCTAATGATGCTCTCTCTAATGGAAGAGAGTTGATGGCTAAGAATAATCATTAGTTTTGTACATATAAACAAAGTATTACACTGTAACATATTTCAATTTTTCTTTGTCCTTTAAAGAGATAGCGAATGACTGATTTATACTTGGAAATATGAAAGAATCACTTTTAGATGGGAATATCAKCTACAGCAGGTTATGTAGTATTGCAGACAGGAAGCAGTAATAACTCAACACAGTAGCAGATAAATCAGTTGCTCAGCTGTTTTGGCAGTGCTCAGAACAGTTTGACACACATCAATGATGTTTATAATATGCATGTTTAAAAGATATGCATGRGTTGGTTAGAAATGTTGTATATAAATCTACCTCAGATTGGGGTATGTGTTTCCCCCCAACCTCTTCTGAAAGGAATTTGAGGCTTTACAGAGTAATACTAGGAATGGCAGGAAGTGAAATAATCACATCTAAGTAGTAGTTTTGTGTATTTGCATGAAAGYTTCACTATGAAGCTTTTTTAGAGGTTTCTGTCTGGAATTTAGTATGTGACATGATTCCCCTCTTTTTTTGAAGTRCTTTTAAAATACCTTTTCCCAGTAATCTTGAAAGAAAAACCATCTTTAACAATCCCAAATACTTGATGCAAAGAAAAGCTTAAGCAAAATGAGCGATGTTGCAGCATGAGCTACTGCAGAAATACTGTAGAACTAGGACGAAGTACAGTCTGGATAGTAACTGGTGCAGAAGTGCAAGTTAGATGGGTGCCATTTTAATAAATTTTTAATTTCATCACATCTGAAACTGCTTCTGCAGATGTCCAAAAAGATCTCCTGTTTTCTCATTGGCTGCTCTGCTTGTGACCTGGCATCTGCACTAATGTCTGCGTGACTGTGTGGCTGTAATGGGGACTTGCATATACATGTACATTGACTATGGAAAAACAGTCTGTCAGGCAGCAAGGTGGAAAAAAACAGCAGGTGTAAACCAAACTCTTATTTCCATTAGGAAAGAGATAGTAAGCAGAGTAATATTTTGCTTTCCATTTCTTGATCATGGTTTTTGGATCTATGTACTTGATAAGGGAACCCTGTGTGGCTTGTAAAATACAGGGAAGTCTTGCTTCATGCCTTTTAAGCCAATCTGCAAGTTATGTTTTTTTAATACCTTTTTTTTTTTTTTTAATTAGAAGTGAATTGAACAAAATCAGTTGTTTGGAAGCTTTGGATAAACTGTTTGGATAGCTGTTTGAATATGCATAAATATACTGTTCAAAGAGAGATGACAGCAGGTTTTGGAAGAGGAGTTCAAGTGGCCAAATCTAAAAACTCTTTTTTGTAAAAGACTCATCTGTCCAGTCCTTGTAGACGAGAGTCCATTCACTTCAAGAAAGATTAATTTAACTGGATGTGACCCAAGACTTCCAGTAGTTTTGTCAACCCTGGCTGACCTTATGGATGCTTCCTGCTTTCCTTTCTCCAAAGAAGAAGGGATGATAAATTGGTGTTGTATATGTATGTATGTATATACTTACATGTATACACATGCATATATATGTGTGTGTACTTTCTATGGGAATTGGATTGCAAAAAGTGTGCGTTATAGTTTGAAAGGTGCAGCTGCCTGTTGGATATGATTGATTGAAAATTAACAGTAACTGACTTTGCATTAGGAGCATAGTACTGTATAAAATTCTTTTGTGTTGATGAAATAGATGCAACTTCCATAGAGGAAGTTTATGTAATAGATTTGAGTAGTATAAACTTGTTTTTCTAAGTGACCATCTGAACTTCTGAAAGGTTGAGCTTTTTGTTGTGCCTGTAATAGTCAAGAACTTCAGTGTACCCCGAGGCTTTGACTGTTTGGATAACCTATGCAATTACTGTGTCACGGAGGCTGGCTTCAGGTACTCAGTTCTGGAAAGAACATGCTGGTATATAATAGGACACTTACTGTGAAAGTTGCTTGTCAAGTGTTTTAAAACATCAACGTTTTTGTAGGTTTAACCAGAAGCTTAACTATAACTTCAGCTGACCAGTCCATGTTTGAGAGAGCTCAAGGAGAGAAGGTTACGCTGCCGTGCACTTTCGTACTCTCGGAAAATGATGAAGGCCCACTCGATATCGAGTGGGTCTTGATACCAGCAGATAATCAAAAGAAGGAACAAATAGTAAGTAGAGACTTCTTGGAGATGTTTTTAATTCAGTTGTTAGAATAGATGAATGTAAGAGCCCTTACTGATCTCTCATTCTTCTTACATTCACCTTTTCAAGATGAAATGTTTATGATCTCGAATTGCTTTGAAGCACCAGTCATGTGAAGTACAGTGAAAGCTTTGGAGTAACACATTAAATGTGAAATGTCAAGAAATCTCTAGCTATAAACTTCTTTAAGGAAGAGCCTTCAAATTAATACTATTTCAGTTATAAAAAACAAGCTGTGCTGTGGTATCCATTTTCTTTTCCTGACAGAAAGCTTATTCATGTGAACATTTTTTTAAACATAACTTCTTTTCATATTCCTTTCTTTGGAAATCTTATGAATAAATCAATTAAAAAATTTGAATAGTTTTATTAAAGTCAGAAGTTAGTAAAGAGTATCCAACTTCGGTTAGATACTTGTTTGGGCACATGCTTTCTCAGAATGCACATGCCTGCACTGTTTGTGGTGATGTTTTGTAGAATGAGATACGCAGTTATGTCATGCTTTGAGGATTATTTAAAACATTAGACAAACTGTCAAAAGTGTGAAGAAGCATAATTGTTCTTTCAAATGTTTGCATTCTAGGTAGGTTTTGTTTTAATCATATTTCTGTTTTTATAGATAATTATGTATGCTGTAGACAGGATTTATAATCATTATTATGCTGCCACAACTGGACGGATGCAGTTTACTAATCCTGATCCCAGATCTGGTGATGGTTCATTGGATATCCTGAATTTAAAATCATCAGACACTGGCACATATCAGTGTAAAGTGAAGAAGGCTCCTGGCGTCCAAAGTCAAAAAATACAATTGACTGTACTTGGTAAGAAAGTGACATTCTTAAATTTTCACTGTCAGTCTTGTGCACTTCCATCATCCTGGATGCGATGTATAAAAATAAGATTTCAGTTGGATAGTATCATATATTATAAATACATGGTGATGCTCCATTTTTGAGTCCTTTCTTGGAGAGGAAGCTTCATTTTTGGAGCATGGCGGGAGGAGAATTAAAAGAGTAATCATATAATGAAGTGAGCTTTTTCTTTTTTTTTCTTCTCTGAAATGCAAGCCAGACCTAAACTAACTTTTTATATGCATAGAGTTAGGTGCACAAGTTTGAATTTATCTTGAGCTGCATAGACTTACCAATTAGAAAAGTAAATATTTTGATTGTGACTCTTGTCCATTAAACACTTTTTAGTAAAGCCAGCAAGGACTAAATGCTCCGTTGAAGGATCACAGGAGATTGGAAATGACATTATCTTGAAATGTGCATCACAAGAAGGATCTCCCCTTCTGTCTTATGACTGGAGAAGAGCAGCTGGCACACGGGCACTGCCTATCACTTCTACGCTGAGTATTGTCAACTTTATTTACTACTTAAAATGCTTTGGAATATATTCTCTTTTCTTGTTGTGACTTTTTAGCATGGGACAGTCAAGATGTGTTTCACTTCTGCTCCCTTTTCACTGAGTAATATAACTGACATTCGAGACAAACTTTTTATTGTCTTTGCTTTAGAGAAAAGAGATTCACTACAGAAAACACATAACACTTTAATCTGGGAAAAGTTCTTGCCATTAGGGATAAGAATCATGCTCATTCCTGCATGAACGTTTCAGCTTCCTTGCTTGCTGATCTCTGGCTTTTCTTTTTCTCTTGTTTTGAACGGTGAGGGGAAAAAGTCAGAATAGACTCTAGGCCAGTTAGAGCTACCTTCAGGGAGGGAATATTGAAAACTTGAATCTTTACTGGCTGAAGGAGGGATTGAACTGAAATCCTTTCCTCTGAGCCAGTGACGGAGGTTGTTCCTTAAGATTGGCTCCAGAGAAGGGTGTAACCCTGGTTGTTACAGGTACAAAAAGAGAGAGAACTTCTCCTCAATGAGCTCCTCCAGGAAAAGGGTCCATGTTACAAATTGAGTGACAGGTTCCAAATTATTGTGAGTTTGTATTGGATTCTCTTTTGAGAACTTTTCAGAAGCTTGTGAGCTTAGATTTTATAAAAGGCTTTGTTTATTTTTTCTCCTGGAATGGTACTTCTTAGTACCTGTTCTTTTGGATCTTCTTTGTAGTTATGAGAACCTTACTGTATGAGATGTCTTGCAGGTCAAGCAGTTTAAAAATCTGATTATAAATGCTTAGCTCGGGTTGTGCACAACCTGAGCATTAAGACTCAATGTAGAGCCTGGTATCCTGTCTCTAAGAGTAGCCAAAGTGGATGTTTACAGGACACTTRGAACCTGTTGGTGCTTTCTCACAGTGTTCTCCTGTTCTTCCATATATTTTTCTAAATTTGTCTTGTGATAAATTGGAACCAATTGGTGATGTTAATGCTGGACAAGAGTGGKTGAGGCAGCATGCGTGAACTGGATAGCCTGGTGCAGCCATTATTGCACTACTGCTTGTTAAGTAAGTACCCACTTCTTGTTAGAAGCAGCAGAAGGAGATAGAGTATCCTACATCTTTGGCTTTTCAAATGCTGGTGGCAAAGCTATTGGCAATTTAAGTATGTGAACCATTTGAAATTTGCATAGTAAAACCTTCCCTAGGCAGCTGCCAATGGCTTCAGAAGCTTTAGTAAAATCCATTTTTTTTTTCTGTCACTGATTGACATCTCCTAGATGTCAGYTAGACTAGACTTAATTGGCCATGGTGTGTAGTGCTTAGTTTGGATCTGTTCATGATTTTGGACATGATTTCTTCATGTATTTACATTTGAACTGGTTGTGTAGAATCAGTTTAGATAGAGTGAATAGAAAGGAAGTTTCTAGGATGCAATTAATATTTTATATTTTAGAATTACATTACAATGAGAGAATTSGCCCTTTAAAGTATCCATTCCTTTTTGCCAGTAGTGCAACATGCATGTARGCTCAATGTTAAGTCAAATGCCATAAACAAACTTCTAATAATGTAAAAGACTGTTGTAAAAAATAGTGTTTTGCTACATGATAGACTTGTGTTTTCATTTGAATATTGCTTTTAACGTGGCTTTTGAATTAATACTTTGTGCTGGATTATTAATTATATTGTATTAAGCATGAGATTATCGTTTGGAAAATGGTAAACCTTTGTCTTTTATTATTTGTAGATAAGAATACAGGGGAGCTTCTCTTGAAAAATGCCTCTCAAGACTATTCTGGTACATACAGATGTGTTGCCACAAACAGAGTTGGCACAGATGAATGTTCTGTGGAGCTGAATGTCACCCCTCGTAAGTGTTTGCTGTGTAACAGCCATTTTCTTTTGTATCTTAAAGAGCTGAATTTTATATCTCTTGCCTCCTAAAAGAATAACTCTGATAGTTTCTGCTTTGTCACAGCTCCCCAAGTGGCGGGCAGAGGGGATCCCTCCATGATCTATTGCCCTTAGCCTGGAACACAGGGAAACATGCTGCTTTTGAAGTTAACAGTAAAAAATTAGCTAGCTGTACAAATATGACTTTTAACAATCAATACTGTAATTTATCTATTCTAGCTATAAATACAGCTGGTATGATTGCTGGAGCTATTATAGGAACTCTGCTGGGTCTCTTTTTACTGGCTTTTCTCATCGTCTGTTGCTGTAAGAAACACAGAGAAAAGAAATATGAGAAAGAAGTACATCATGATATTAGGTAATGACATAACTTTTAACTTCTGCATGGCATTATTTGAGAATTAACTTTTAAATGTGTCTTTTTTGTATGTATGATACCTCCTAGTTGAGAACTCTGTTCAAAGTTCGTGATTTTGGAAAGCCTGTTAACATACTAACAGCTGATCTGAGAACTTCTTTTTTTTAAATATTGTATATTCAGTCACATTTATCTAATATTCCAGTAAAATTTTTGAAGCTGTTAAGCTGTTTAATTTTTTTAGTATGTTTAAGTATGTGAGGTGTGTGGGTTTTTTTTTTTTTTTCCTTCCCCTCTGGCTACTGTATGAGAATAAGAAGAAACAAATAGAATAAGGAGAAATGAAGTGATGTGTTTTCACTAAGCATCCAGACAGTAATACTGAGTGAAATATAGTTGAGTTCAACTCTTTTTTTTTTTCTTTCTTCTCTCTTCCAGAGAAGATGTCCCACCTCCAAAAAGCCGCAGTTCAACAGCCCGTAGCTACATAGGCAGCAATCGTTCTTCTCTAGGTTCAATGTCACCCTCCAATATGGAYGGATACACCAAAACTCCATATAGCCAAGTCCCAAGTGAAGACTTTGAACGCACTACTGGTCAAAATGCAAACTTTGCACCCTCAAAGGTAGCTGCACCTAATTTAAGTAGAATGGGAGCTGTCCCAGTGATGATTCCAGCGCAGAGCAAAGATGGGTCCATAGTATAAGATGTTATTAATTTAAGCCGTGTTTTAAAATGTTCATTATAAGTATTAAGAAAAAAACCTACCTTGTTCTATCCCTCACTTAAAATGGCATGCAGTTTTCCTTGAAGAAAGTTGGTTTGAAAAGCTGATAACTTCCACTTTTACTTTCAAACGTACTAGTATATAGCAGTCAAACTATTCGTGAAAATTGTTGAAATTCCTACATTGGATATTGAAGGTATTTGGATGCAGGTAGGTGGCGGAAGAGGGGATCAGCTGATGTGCAGTTCTGAATATGAAACAATCGGACACACTTGAGAAGTAAAAAGGCATTTCATGTGTAGGTCAAAGTCTCTCAGAATTCCTGAAACTTTATCTTCAGTATTGGAAAAACAGCTATATTAACTTCAGCATTTTCTGATGAAGTTGCAGCTGTGTGAAATACATAGARTAACTTGGAGTCCTATTCGGTTTGAGTATTTATGCAGTTCTTTAACTTGGTAATCTTTGGAGCACTTGGACTCTTGGTGTTTTTTTTTTTAATTTGACCGATTCAGTTAACTTTAATGAATCTAAATTGAAAATTTCCATGAGCAAAACTGTGATAGGAGAGCTTACTCTTTGTGAAACCTCAATTTTAGTGTAATGGCTCCTCTTTCTAGTAATGTCAGATGACTTAATACTAAATTATGTAAGAGGTCCTATCCAGTTGTTACTAACAATATCCAAAACTTAAAATCTCTATTCAGTTTTTGCATTAAGAATACACGTCGTAAAATCCAAGATTAAATTTTATAAATCTTGTTTAGATTCAAAAGCAGTGCTGTAATTTTTCCCTATTATCTGAAAGTTCCATGGGGGTTTTAATGACATGTGCTAAATTAACATTGTTTGATATATGTCCTCTAACATCACTTCAGGAATCTCTTTCCACATTCACACAAGCCATATTTAGCCTTTCCTTAAGAGGATAACATGTTCTTTATTTCAGATTGCAAGGAGTGAAAGGCTTACCTCTCCTTGCCTCTTCAAAAGCCCTAGATATTAACAGRCACTTTGACTTTAATATTGGTTTCATGCAGCCAGAATCTCTGAAAAGTAGTTGTCCAGAATTGTTGATATGAACTTCATGTTTCGTGACTTAAACAAAAAGCTCTTCCTATTTTTCAAAGACTTGAAGGTGTTATAGGAGGAATAGAATATTATCTTGGTTTCACACCTTACTTGGGAACTTTGGATATCTCATGATGACTGATACTATATACATGTGGAAGCTGATTTCAAAGTTTAATGCAGGGTTGTTTTTTCATTTCGGTGTAGATTTTTTTCTTAGTGTTTTTTCTTCTTCTTTCTTTTCTCCTTCCTTATATTCTGTTCCCTTCTTTATCTTGTCCTGTGGAAAAATAAATAAAGAGCCCCTTCAACTTATTTCAGCTATAGCTGTTAAAATATTTTGAAAACTCTACAGGAATTTAGTAAGTGGCACTGATGTCTGAATAGCCTATTGAAAGATGTTAGATTTATTTGTATGTACCAACAGTATGAGATGAAAAAAAAATGCCCTGAACTTCTAGGCTCAATGTCTGCTTTCTTGTAGCTGCTTAGATCTGTGACAAAATCTTTGGGATGTTACTAAATGTTTGTTCTAACTGTAGTTAGGTGCACAATTTTTGGCTGACCCTACAAATGCAGGGATCATACCTTTCATACTGAATTTGGAAACCTGAATAGCTACTAAGTATTCTAGACTTAAAACTTTTCAGATTTGGGACTTTTTTAGATTGTAAACTGATACTATTGGAGTTCAGATATTTTTTATCTTTCATGTGTGCCTTTCAATAAACTTTGCCTGATTGTAACTCCACTTTTTATGAAATTAATGGTGCCTAAACTTGCTGTCTGGACAGGTGCTTAGATGATGGTACAAGTTTTTTAAAACATGACACTGTGATCTGATTTCCTTATTCTGATGTACTGTTTATACTTCATGCCAATTTTTGGATGTTACTCAGTGACTCTCTGGTGTTCTGTACTTCCAAATGTCAGTTACTCGTTCAATTTCTAAATAGGATCTAAGCATTTGTATTCCTGAAAACTGTTCACTTGCGAGTGAGATGGATGACTGACGTSTATGGTAATTAATAGAGTCTAGTAACTGTGCCAAACATGCTTATGAAGAACAGTAGATGAGGAGACATCTTCTTGCATCCAATTATTATGATAGATTTCTGATGTTTAATGTGTACTAATTGATTGTTATCTTGAAACTAAGACCTTAGTTGAAAGGGTGTGGTTATTTGGATCGTGAAGACAGGTTATATGCAAAACTAGAACTGAATCGCAGACTAAGAGATRGCTATAGAGCTAAGCAGCCAGGTAACCAACAAACTTACTGAGATTGATTTTTATCCTTCTGTGGGCACATGTGAAATGAGCTTTTTGGTTTGGCCTGAGATGCTCTGCTTTCAGCCAGGTAAATCACCGAGATGCTTGAAAACAGAAACTTACCACACAAAGAAAGGCAGGCAGAGCAGGGTTTACACATTTAATGCTCTGTCAGCTTGCACAAAATAATGGTCAGAATGGAAGGACAGCATGACGTGCCCTCAGAGCTTCGCTGTTAGGCTTAGCAGCCTTGACAGTGTCTATCTATTTATGTAATTGCATGGAAAATGAGGAAATAGGAACTGGCATAGTCCTTATCTGAGATAAAGAACCTCTGACTTGGGATCAACTTTGCCTCAAGTTCCTAACATCATGCCTTTTTTGGATGGATAAAACTGCTATGAAAACCATAACACTGCTATTGGAAGTAGTTTCTTTAGTGAGTAGAATGTTAACTTACGCACTGGATTATGATTCTTAAAGTGGATGCTGTAGTTTAGGAATGATTCCTAGCTATGTAGGCARTAAAATGGGTCAACACCGAAAGTGTCGGGTCTTAGATAGCCTTGCTAAGAAACTTTTTTTCTAGGAAGTAATGGCAGCTGATATACCAGTTAGAAGGTGGCATTTAAAACGTCTTATTTTATAAAATAAATGAGGGAAGTGATACTTTTATGTAAATATTCCAAATGAACTGAAGAAACCACTAGTTAATGTTATGACTGTAAACTTGCCTGTTGAGGATTCCTGTGTTTAGAAGCAAACACTTAATTTTAGCATGGCGTGAATAAAGTGTTAGTCTTGTAATATTGTAGAGGTGATATAACATTTGTTCACACWTTACAAGCCTCTTCATAAACTTTTTGAAATGGATAATTAAAGGTGTTGATGTGAACCCTCCCTAACTAAAAATGAATACTTCTTAAAGTATGTAGTGCACAGAAATGCCTTGTGGAGAGGGTTAAAAAAAAAAAAAAAATCAGACATGTACAATGCCTATATCTTTATCCACTGTGATAGTTTACATTCATATTAGATGTATGTTCCCTAAGTGCATAATAATAGCATCAGTGAGAYTTTTTAATATTTTTTTCTGTAATAAAAYTGTATATTGCTCRTTTCAGTAAGAGGCTTTTTTAACTGTGTGTGTGTGTTTTGGATCACGTAGATCTCTGTTCCAGCCTGGAGTCATCATAAAACTATAAATCTTGTTCTCTATATTTCATAGGTGCTTTAATGGGACCCTTTTAGGGATTGGTCCTCTAGCACTGGGGCACAACCCTAACTCAACTTGCAGCAATAATATTTCCCAGAATCCAAAACCCTATTCCTGCTTTTCATGCACAAAGCATGGACTTAAATATTGGTATGAAAATCAGTATGAGGTTTTATATTCACATTTTTCTTTTTTTTTTTTTTGTGTGGAGAAGGGAGATTTTTAAAATACAAGTATTGCAGTTTATAGGAGTGGATTTGGAAAAAAAAATCCAAAATTTCACAATGCTGTAGTTCTGTGACAGACCTGTGTACTTYTTGAAATAAAAATGTGAGAGAAAGCAGTAGTCTGTCTTTATTCTAAAGYAGCATTTATGTATGACTTCAGTTTCCTCTTTCTGTATTTGGAAGTTTGTTAATAAATATAGCTGTGTATACCTCACTGGCATTAATCACTTTATTTCTTGCTTTTTATATTCTGAGAAGAAGAAGAGAATAAAACTTTGRGTATTTTAAGTCCCTATTTAGACACTTTAAAGTTTCTAATTGTAGATGCACAGATATTAATCAACATTAAAATTGAATCTTGATAACCTTATTAAAATCCTAAAACATAGGTCTAGAAAGGAACTACAGATTGTTTGAATTTTAACAGAAAGTTATTTATCAAGGCCAAGAATCTTGACTTTACCTAAAATAGAGACAAAATAACAATGTTTGCAGTATGAACAAGCGCGTGGTTTTAAAAACTTGTTGTTTATACTGTAGACTGCTCTTTTTTGATTCAAATGCAGTTGACTCTTGGGCTATTCCCTGCCATTTGGCCTTACAAACTCTGTCCTTGTAGTTTTCTCTAAGCTGAACTCAATGTCTCCATTGTCATCTTGAAAAATTGCTTAATTTTGTGAAACAAAAGCTGTTAGTGTCAAGTCTAAGCTCTGCTGCTATTAGTGCCAGGTATTTGTACTTAAGCTGTTGGAGGCCTGAGTAGCTTAAGTTGATTAATGTATGCATATCTTCATATGATAATGCATACCTATGTAATGTCAGGTGTTCTAGTTGCTACTCATGTATACTTGGGAAATCTGTGTTTAACATGTCCTGGCACAGGCCTGCCCAGAGAGATTGTGGAGTCTCCTTCTTCGGAGATCTTTAAAACCCGCTTGGACGCAGCCCTGTGCCACGTGCTCTAGGTGACCCTGCGTGAGCAGGGGGGTTGGACTMGATGACCTCTGAGGTCCCTTCCAACCCTGGGCATTCTGTGATTCTACGAGTGCACACAAGCATTTAAATTTACTGTTACAAAGTAAGAAAGTAGAAAACTTTTTTTTTGATTTAAAATTCATTTTTGGGCCTAAATACAAAAGGTAGCTTATTAAAAACCAAAGATTCAGATTGTAGTCTTATTTGTAGGGCTCTGAGGAAACCTTTCCACGACGCTTTTATGTGAAATTGAGGACATCTGTGCCTTCCTCAGTTGGCAGCGTTGCCCCGACAGGGATGTTCACGTCTCTGCTGTGCAGAGATAAGGGGGTGCCCACACAGGGGGAAGCGGGAGGCCCACACACAGCCTGTGGTGGGCAGGCGCTGGCCGGAGGCGGCCRGCCTGCAGCGCGACGTGCGCAGCTCCCACCAGCCCCTCCGAGCCAATTCCAGCACGTCAGCCAACGCTCTCGTGTGCTGAGGGTCCGACAGGCTGCTTCCGTGAGGCAGTGCTACAAAGTCTTGTTGCTCCTTGAGTATGTATTAGGCAAGGTGTTGGATAAATCTGTTTTTTCTTAAAAGATGTTTAAAAATCAGTTTTTTTGTTTTTCTCTCTCGCCAACATCTTGGACCTACTGTGTGCTTTCAACTTGCTTGTTTGTGTTTGCCTCATATGGAGAGGCTTTGGTTCTTGCAAGCTCTGTGGTAATGCTCCTACCTAATTACTGGGCTTCATTAGGAAACACTGCCAGCTATTGAGGCTTTCTCATCTGTGAAGTCCATAAAGTGAAACCAAAAGGGATTGTGAAGAAAACAGCTGATTAAGGAGCAAGAATTGCATGACACAACCTGTGAATGGTGCTTACGTTTTCAAGTCTGAGCCTGTTTTAAAATCATCTGGCAGCTCTGGGATGACTACAGGTGATTGCTCAGGACATGAGGCACTGCGTACCTGTAGCTGCTTTTGAGGAATGGCGCAGGCTCAGCGAGCTTTTGCTTTTGTAAAATAACTGGTGTGCCAAAGAACCGGCCAGGAGGCTTTCTTTGCTTCTGTGTCTGACTGCTGCTTGAAGTTCCTGAAAATGACAATCTTAAGGATTTTATTTCCATATTGTGAGTCAGTGTTAGCGAGACCTTCACTTAAGTGAAGACTTAAGTCTTCACTTGTTTATAACTGGCCAARTTGTTTCTGAGCAGCAAAGTAGAGAATTCAGTAGAAGTAGCTATTAGCTGGATCAGTCTTTTTAATTAATCAGCATAGACATAAATTTATTTGTTTGTTTGTTTGTTTTTGATACCATAGACCAGATAAAGGACATTTCTACCCTATCATACAGAAACATTAAAAAAAGTTTTATAAGTCCCCCATTAGCTTTGCCTACTGTCAGGATTATTATTGTAGGGAGGAGGGGGTATAACATAGAAAAAAAAAACAATGTTGGTTACGCAACTTGATTATGTAATGATTTTAACTTAGCAATATTGGAATAGACGTTAACATCTGAAAGCACATCACTTTACCTTCAGTAATTTCATTTTATCTTCAGGGAAAAAAACCTCTTGAGGCAGTATGTCCACTGGGAAACTCGGAATACTTTGCAATGCGATGACAGTTGTCCCACTTCTGAGAAGCTTTGGCTCTTAAAAGTTTCAGACAGGCAGGATAAAAGTTTATTATCGTAGCTGAAGGGTGTTGAACTTCTTTTTGCAGGAATTCTTTGTCAGATTGCAAAATAAGGAAAGAAAAATGGTAGAAAGGAAGATAGATTTTTGTGGTATATTTTGTAGGAGGGACCTGAATTCTCAAAACAGAAGAAAGGCTTGACTTCAAGAATTTGAACTATTTCAAACTCCAGTTTTCATTAATGTTTGTAGGGATTTCTTGCTACYATTTTTCATATAAAATATTTCTGGCTATATAATCGCTACTACTACTGTGTAGAGGGTCAGARACTGGAGAATTGCAATAGATTAAAACCTCCTGAACAGTCTGTACAGTGTTAGCAGTGTCAGCGTGAGGTTGAATGATCATTCAGATTATGTGGAAACTTAGTCAAAGAATGCCTTAAATGAATACTAAATTTGGTCGGAAAGAGCTGCGGAAATTATATTGTCTAATGCCGCTGCTCTAATAGCTTCTAATYATGTCAAATTAAATTCTGTTGGAATAGAAAAGGAGCTGAAATCCTGTCTCCCTGCCTGGTGTGGCCAATTACAAATAAATCAGAGAAGTAAAATCTAAGAGCTAATGATTTGATTTGCTACATAATTTGTAAGTGAAACTATTTTCCCTTCCAGGAATCTGAATCTCCTTAATTCATATCACCTGATGGTATCTTATTTGTAAAAGAGCATTAATTCTCTGGATGTTCTTCCGCATACTTTAACTTCTGCAATCTCAGTGTTTAGGTCAGATTTTTGCTAATGGTTGTGTCACACKAGTCATGTTGACACATAGTGTTTCAAACAAACAGCTGGTGTGCCAAAGTCAAAACACTTGCGTTATGCTCAGTTATACTATGAGAGATTAAAATAGAATTATTACTGAAGTTTTCCATTTACCAGTACAGTCACTGAGATGAGACACTGATATCCTTATGACCAATGGTATAAATATAAGTCCTGAATTACTTGTAACTTTTGACCAGGATGACCACTCTGGGGCACAGCTGGTTGTTTGTGGAACATGTCAAAAAGCTTATGTTGTGGCTGCCAGCACTGTACTTTTTATCACAATAAACAGAATGCCCTTTCATGTCACTTCTAATCCTATAACTGTCAAGAGCAGGAACAGTTCATCTAAGCTGTAAAATCTAAAATTGTGCAACTAAACGTATACTTCCCTGCTCCCTATTCTTATACAAGGAAAATTATTGTGTTAAACAGAGACAGCTTCAGATGAATTGCTTACTGTTGTTTTGCTTTCATCTTTGTATTCTGTAACCGA